CCACGCCGCGTTGCCGCTGTTAGGGGGCGCAGCAGGGCACTAGTTGGGAGGGAGACTCGCCCCAGTCTCTCCCAGCAGGGGGCGCTGCAGGGCACTAGTTGGGAGGGGGACTCGCCCCAGTCTCTCCCAGCAGGGGGCGCAGCAGGGCACTAGTTGGGAGGGGGACTCGCCCCAGTCTCTCCCAGCAGGGGGCGCAGCAGGGCACTAGTTGGGAGGGGGACTCGCCCCAGTCTCTCCCAGCAGGGGGCGCAGCAGGGCACTAGTTGGGAGGGGGACTCGCCCCAGTCTCTCCCAGCAGGGGGCGCAGCAGGGCACTAGTTGGGAGGGGGACTCGCCCCAGTCTCTCCCAGCAGGGGGCGCAGCAGGGCACTAGTTGGGAGGGGGACTCGCCCCAGTCTCTCCCAGCAGGGGGCGCAGCAGGGCACTAGTTGGGAGGGGGACTCGCCCCAGTCTCTCCCAGCAGGGGGCGCAGCAGGGCACTAGTTGGGAGAGGGACTCGCCCCAGTCTCTCCCAGCAGGGGGCGCTGCAGGGCACTAGTTGGGAGGGGGACTCGCCCCAGTCTCTCCCAGCAGGGGGCGCAGCAGGGCACTAGCTGGGGGGCTCCGGTCCCACTGAAGTGCCTTGCTCCCAGGTGTCCTGTTGCAGGACAGGGGCCTTGGCTGCCAGCCTGAGGGTCCCTCACACTTGGAGCTGGGGTTGAGCCCCCTCCCCCTGCTGGGCCTCGGGCCTCCCGTGATACTGACTAGAGAGGAACATGAAACTGACCAGCCTGGTGTCACCCCCTGGCCACAGTCAGTGCGGGGGGCGGGGCAGCTGCCACGGGGTCCCATGCAACTGCCCAGGAGAGGCAGTGGGTCCTAGGCGCAGGGTCCTGAGCCCTTAGGCTGGCAGGGGACACAGGGGTGCAGGCAGGGCCTGGGCCGGTACCACAGTGGGAAGGAGTCAGAGCGTGGGGAAGGATGTGCTGGCAGGGTGGGATGGGGGAGGAAGGGGTGAGCTGACAGTGGGAAAGGAGGGGGCCTAGCACTGCAGGGGAGGGGCTGCAGGGTGGGCTGGCTCAGTGAGGAGGGGGCAGAGGGAGAGGGGCTGGCACTGGGGGAGGGGCT